CTGTACATAGATGTTCAAAGCAGCATTTCTTATAATGGCCAAAAAGTAGAAATCCAAACGTCTATCAACTGACAAATGGACAAAATAGTTATACGATGGAACGTTCATCCATAAAAAGGTATGAAGTACTGATAACTGCTACAAATCAAACCTTATGCTACGTGAAAGAAGCCAGACACTGAGGCCATATCCTGAATAACTCCATTTCCATGAAATGTCCTGAAGGGGCAAATCCACAGAGACAGATTAGGGTTTGCCAGGGGCTGGGAGGGCAGGAGAATGGAGAATAAGTACTAACAGGTACACAGTTTCTTTCCAATGTTGTGAACATAGTGCTGATGTTTGTACAACTCTAGATACCTTAAAAACCACTAAACCAAGCATGTCAAACTCGTGCCTGCTGACATGCTTGTACTAAACTATATACTTTTAAGAGAGTGAATTTTGTGGATTGCAAATTATACCTCAGTAAAAATGTTCCTTTTTAAATATCAAGATATAGTAAATCCTATTCAAGGCTCAAAAAATGAAAGTATTTAGGAACTTAGCTATTCTGAATTATCTAACATTTAACCAATTCTTGAGTGTCTATTATGCAGGCAATTATTTACTGTGTGTTAGCAGACACTGAAGATACTATGGTGAATTACTATAGTCCAGGAAGCACTTACTACATGGCAATGATTGTAGAGTTTTGTATGGTGGAATCCTCACACCAATAAGTACTATTACCCCTAATTTTACAGAAGCAGAAATTAACTTGCCGGAAGTCACACAGTAAGTGAAAAATCCAAGGTCTGAATCAGGCAGCTTGGCTCAAAGCAAGCAGCTCTCCACTCTGCTTTAGCAGTGGTGAGAACATCTGGCCCTGCCAAGGCATTACGGGGAGTTCATTCAATGTTTGACAAACATAGCAGGCTAATTTTTAAGTTTATAATTTTGTATGGCCCAAGAATGATGTTATAAATATCCAAATGGCTCTTGGCAGAAAAAAAGGTTCCCCACTACTGCTTTATAGAAAAGCATGGAAAACCTATTTTATAATCACTTTTTAAAAAATGAAAATTGATGCAGGGAGATACACTGATCAGTAGGATTAAGAATTTCATACAGAGGTAATCCTTATATGGTTTCTTGTAAATAATACCAACCACCAGTAATATCTTTGGCTAAATGGGGTAACAAAATAACTTTATACACAGTATCTTTTCAGTGTTTAAATGTTTTACAGTATTATTTTACGATTTTAAAAACTAAAATGTCTCATGAACAAAATATTTTCAGATTTGAGTTATCCATTTATTTAAATGTATGTTTTATCATATATTACCAATTATATGTACTGCACCTGTTCTGAAGGATTTCCATCCTGCAAGGATAACAGGTACACTGGTGCTCCTTAGCCATAACTCACCTGGCAGCTAGCTGGCACTTTAGCATTGCAACAGAGGTACTTTAAAATACTAGTAGATCAGGCTTAGAAGTTTGGGAAGAAGGAATCATAATAAAGTATGGCCAAAGAAATCATTCAAAAGAACAACTATTCAGTTGCAATCCATCACAACATACACTCTAGTAGGAAAAATACATGTTGAGGATAGACCAGGACAGGGGCTCATTATTTTACCTCTTTTACTCTCTGCTGTTCACTGTTACAAAGGAATGTTCCGAATAAACAGCTATACAGGTGGTCCAAAATGGTAATGAGAAAATATTCATTGAATTCAAATGCTGTAGGAAACTGCAAATCAAACACCACAAACAAAACTATTAAGACATTTTTTTCAAGCATATTCACCCTGTAGTATATGAGTAGATCCTTTATAATATTTAAAAGTAGGCTAAACAATATTCAAAACTCTATTTCTAAGCCATTATGGCATCCGCTTGGTTTTCTGTTCAAAAATCACTTTACCATTTAGTTCTAAGATTATTATTCCAAAATCTTTTCTTATGCATCAAGAATTTGAATGATCTGACCTTGATGTTTCTGATCTACATCTGCTAGCCCCACAAGCTGAGGAATTTTGACCTGGGCAATTCTGGAAACTCTAATCTTTCTCTGCCAAAAGTGACCATAAACAACATAAGGTTTTTCTTTAAATTTCAAAAACATTGTTTTGTTTTAGAAATTACAAAAAAATAGCATCAATGTCTCCAAAAAAATGTCAGCAATGCACACAAATAACTGCCCCAGGCAGATGTGCAGATCATTTAAAGCGAACCTGCTCATCTTTTCAAGGAGCAGCCAGGCAAATGGAAGTATCGTGGAGCCCAGGACTTTGGCAGCCTCTTTCTAATTAAAAAGAAAATTCACTTTCTCCATAACCTAATGGCAGCGGCCTACTGGATGTCTTAATATTATACAAACAACACAATCTGGGGGGGCTTTATCAAGGTCAAATTACAGACCACAGGAAGGTAAAGGATTTAGTTTAATCCATCCTGTCAATGTAATAGTTCAAAATTATCCCAAAGTTTCCATGTAAGATTGTACCAATTACACAACCGAAAAGGAATTCCATGAACATTTAGATTGCAGAGTTGGGAAATATTCACTTCAAGTAAGTTTTTTTTAGAATGATTCCTACCCAGTAGTGAAGGAAAATAGCATGAACTGTAAGCAAAAGGTACAGGGTTAAAAACAACTTTACCTTAAAATTTCCTAAATTTTAGAAAGCCCTAAGCAGGGTAATATAGCAGATTTCTCAAAGAATAAATGATAACTCCATGTTGTGGCTATGGAACTGAATGAATGCAGCAGGTGATCAAGCACATGCCAACAAAAAGCCAAGTATTTTAAGGAACTTGGCCAAATCCCATTTATTTACAAAATAAATCCCATCACCTGATTAACACTCTTCGCCTTATTTATTAGCCAACTATGCGTGTACTCTGACTCATGAAATAGCAGTCCAGAAGAGCTGAGCCTGTGGGTAGCTCTTCTTGGCAGGGCTTTTAGCTCAGTTATGAGAAGATATCTTAATCAGTGGGCATTTCCTCACAACAACACTAAAATAGCAGAGCATTAACTGCTGGCACTGCTTTTAAAATCTTAAACAGAAGAGGAATATTTTGTTCTTGCATATTTAAAATCTCAAGGGCCCTTCATCCGCTGCTTCCTGAAGATGCGAGTAAGAACAGAGGTGGAATCTGGTTAACTACAACATGATTCTCATTTTGACAAATGTGTTATTTAAATCTCTGAACAAACATGCAATTATTTGTAAACCTGAAGATTACCAATAAACACTGTAACATTTATGTTCACAAAGAAAATGTACATAAAACATAACTAGATGTCTAAAGAATCATCGCTTCTATAATGTATTTTAGATTATCTAAGAAACAAGATTAAACTGATTTTCTACTTTATAGTACCTTAAGCTCAGCACTGAAGTAAGACTGCTATTAGGTATATAGCATATAGAAAGTTAACACAGCTACTAAGGAAGACATGTACTAGTCATGTACTCTGCCACGTAAACAACTGGTAACTTTGATTTTTTTTTTTAACAAGCATACCAGAACTAATATATTCACTTATGTTGCCCCTTTAAGATAGTCCCCTTGGGAAGCAGTCCATATAAGCATCAATGATGCCACGGCTTCACACAACCTTCCTAGTCCGTTGATAGGGCATTTGAATTTTGCCAACAGCCAAATGCTATTTAGAAACTGAATATGGTAATGGCCAAAAATGGGTCCTGCCCTGGTCAGTTTGGCTCAGTAGATAGTGAGTCTGCCCTTGGACTGAAGGGTCCTGGGTTTTATTCCAGTCAAGGGCACGTATCTCAGTTGCAGGCTCAATTCCCAGCCCCTGTCGGGGTACATGTGGGAGGCAACCAATCAATGTGTGTCTCTCACATGGATTTTTTTTTTTAAAAAAATGGATCCTATTATTTTTAGTCAAAACCCAAAAAAGGATTGGTAAGGATTTGTATAGCTGATATACTACCTCGAAGGCAATTCCAAAGGAAAATTTCTCACCTGCTCCAAGAAGTAGTGAACATTAAAATATGTAGCATCTCCCCTCCCACAACATATGAGAACCTGATGCACAGAACAAAACTGAATTGTATACACATTCGTAGAATATGTGTGAAAATACCAGCCTCTTCATACTGTAGTCATATCTACAACACAGTTTAACCCAGCAAGTTTCCAAATAATCCACCCAAATTGAAATTCTTTTGGGAAGAAACAAACTTCAATATACACTGTAATTGGTGTATTTTTCCCTAAGGATCACCACTTCCTTTTAAATCAGGGGTCCTCAAACTACGGCCCGCGGGCCACATGCAAATACAAATATTGTATTTGTTCCCGTTTTGTTTTTTTACTTCAAAATAAGATATGTGCAGTGTGCATAGGAATTTGTTCATAGTTTGTTTTTTTTAAACTATAGTCCGGCCCTCCAACGGTCTGAGGGACAGTGAACTGGCCTCCTGTTTAAAAAGTTGGAGGACCCCTGTTTTAAATAGTAGTTTCTTGAAGCTAAAATGTGACCCTAAAGCAGAGCAGAGCCAGCAATTTCCCTACCTTATATTCACATGAGAATCTAACTAAAAACAAACCAGACTCCCAGCTGAGGTCTAATAAACCCTTGAGTGATAGTTACCTGACATACCAGTGAGCTGTATCCGACTTTGGGGTTTTGAGATGATTTTTCTTAAGTAGAGTTAAATATTTTTATGACCCAAACCCTTGCTTCATTAGGGGGTGATCCCATAATTAACCAGATTTTTTTCTCTTTTGTGCTATCTAAATATAGCAAACCATTTACACTAGATTTCACATTGGTTTATTAGAAAGTTGGTAGAAGCTCTAAAAAACCAATCTCTCCATACCTAAGAAAAATAAAGAATCCATTATATACCTATCTTGCCATCATTTCCCACCCAACCCATTTTTCATTAAATTTACTTGCCTGTTTCTTCATTTCTTTACCTTTTTAACAATATGCAGATGAGCTTTTGGGTGAACATGCTGCGTGATGTTACTGATTGTCTATAGAGGAGGAAACCTCTTGGGTTATTACGGAGCCACTCACTGAAATGCTGATGGAATCAAATTGTCAAGTGTTTAATACTACTCCCAAACAATATTCTTCAGCTTAATTCACAACATGATAATTAGGTAATAGTTATGTTACCTAGAAACCTTACAAGAATTTTCATTTTACATGAAATACAGGAAAATCAGTGACCAAATCTCCTAACTCCAACTGGAAGGCTTAAAAAAGGGTTGTAAGAATGGATATATATAAGTTACCTGTCTTGTCATTTGCCAGACACAGTCGATGAACTGAAGAAAAACAGGCGATCTATCGGCATCTGCATGATTCTTATCTCCATGCCCAAGTCTCTGAAGAAAGACAGTGAAATAGCATGTGAACTTTGTGGAGTTTTTCATTTTTTTAATGAAAATAAATTTCCAATAAAAATACTATTTTGTCAATATTTTTTAAACTCCAGAAAATCTTTTTAAAAGAGCACAGCAAAGAAAATAGCCATCACCATCACCCTATGAAATGTCCATACAGTAGACTCGTGCACCTGAAACCTACACTGAATGGCCAGATTATGACCACCTGACGTTTGTAGGCAAATCAGCTACAATTTTGCACTGAAGTTGCTAGAGGGCCAGACCATTATAAATAGACACACACACACACACACACACACACACACACACACACACATACTGTATATGCTTTGCTAACAAGTATCACCCCAATAAATTCAATAAAAAGAAAACATTTTTATGTGCAAACTGCCAGGTTTAACATGTGATGCTTTTAATAGGAATTACAACTTTAATAAATGAAACCTAGGCAATTGAACCGACAACATTTCAGTGCATAGGACGATGGCCAACTAGCTGAGCCACACCGGCCAGGGCACATGCCAGGATTGTGGGCTCCATCCCCAGTAATAAGTGGGGGCGGGTGGGGGGGTGAGTAGCTTATTGATATTCACTCTCACACCAATGTTTCTTTTCTCCCTCTCCCTCCCCCTCTCTCTAAAATTAATAATAAATGAAACACAGACCTAAAAGGCTGATAATGGAAGATTGGAGTAGTCAGACCTCAGAGCCTAGATTTTTGTTCTGGAGATCTAATTTCCCCCTGAATATTATGTTGTCATATAAAGTACCCTTCTCCTCTAACACCTTGGCCAGTGCATGAAGGGGACCTGTTGCATCTTAGCTCCAGTCTCTTTATCAAGAAGAATCAACATTAGCACAAACCTTCATAAACCTTTAAAATATGCTTGACTTCTGCCCTCCAAGCATGCACTCACCCAGGTTCTCAGTTTTTTCTTTCTCTGAGCACCTTTGCCCCAGATGACTGAAACAGACCCCTGTTCCCTATCTTAAAGCCATTGATTCTAAAAATATGATCCCTAGACTTCTGGGGATGGGGGGGGGGGGGGGTGACTGTGAGGTCAAACTAATTTCATAATCCTAAAATGTCATCTGCCTTTTTAAATTCATTGACGTTTGCACTCATGGTGCAAAAGTGATGAAGGATCAAACTTTTTGGTACCTTAGGAGGAATCAAGCGAGGCAGTGAAACCAAGCTGCACTGGTTACATCCTGCCCTGCCACACACGCACTTAAATGAAAGGGACTAGAGCCAATTTCTGGAGCAGTTTCCTTGAAGCGGTAAAAAGTATTAACGTTATTAAATGCATTTTTTTTACTATTCTGTGTAACAAATGGGAAATGCACATGATGTGCTTATGCTGTAAACTTAAGTAGAATGATAGGAACTGACACTTTTTCACAGAACATCGTTCTGACTTGAAAGAACAATTGATAAGTGAACTATGGTTACGAAGACTTGACTATCTTGCAGACTTTTTGAAAATGTACAAAGTGACTGTGTCACTTCAAGGAATACAATGGACAGTATTTGTTGCCAATGATAAAATTCAAGCTTTTGAGTGAAAATTAGATTTCTGGAAAACTTTTACTTGCCACATAAGTTTGATAATACTTAAAGACTTCCAATAAAATCAGTGGTGGTATTAACAGCTGTGGTTTATGGGATTATATAAAGAAATGCATTGGAAGAACCAAGCTGGCAGTGTAAGGTACAGACCTGTGCGTGCTGCCTCCCACAACAACATTGAAAATACCAACTATAAGATAAAACAGCTATCATTCGGAACCATGGGAAAGCTGGCCCAGTGGAAGTTCTACAACTGGAAGGAAAGAAAGAAGCGCATTGAGACTGAGTAGGAGGTGCAGAGTCGCCAAGAGCAGAGGTACGGAGTCGCGTGCCAGGCGGGCTGCAACTGGATGCACGGTTTTTTTCAATCGAAAGGGGTTACAAACTCTCGAATCCACTGAGCTTGTTTGGGGCAGGACTCTGAGGTCCCAGACCCCTACGGGGAGAGGCGGGACGGCCTTGCAGTGGGTCGGAAAGCGAGAGTGGCTTTCTCGCAGAGCTGCTTGCCGGCACTCAGGGACGCAGAGTCACAGAGACGCCATTGCTGCTTGCTCTGCCCTGGTGACTCCCTGAGACCCCGCCCTACTCAATTTACATCCCCGCCCAACCTGTGCCAGAAGCACAAAAGGAATCTCCTGTGCTTTTACAGCCTAACCCAACAAACTGCAGATTTCAACTGCTCCCATCCATAAGGGACACACTCAAGAAGCGGATTTTTTTCAATCGAAAGGGGTTACAAACTCTCGAATCCACTGAGCTTGTTTGGGGCGGGATTCTGAGGTCCCAGACCCCTATGGGGAGAAGCGGGACGGCCTTGCAGCAGGTTGGAAAGCGAGAGTGGCTTTCTCGCGGAGCTGCTCGCCAGCACTCGGGGATGCAGAGACACGGAGTGGCGAGGAGTTGTAGAAACACCATTGCTGTTTGCTCCACCCTGGTGATTCCGAGACCCCGCCCTACTCAATTTACATCCCCGCCCAAGCTGTGCCAGTGGCACAAAAGGAACCACCTGCGCTTTTGCAGCTTAACCCAACAAACTGCAGATTTCAACTCCTTGCACCCAAAAGGGACACACTCAAGAAGCAGAATCAGGTTCAGAGGAAGCCGGAACCAGACCCGGCTGGGCCGGCAACATGGAGCCGCTATACCAGCAAACGCACAGGTCCACCAGATCCAGTCTCACATGGGACACCGGGAGACAGCAGACAAGCAGTCTGTGCACTTAGTAGAAAACGAAATCCAAGCAAGGATACCAGATATTCAGCCAGCAAGAACGCCTGGAGATTTTGTCCAGCAAGGAGCCGCCCAACAAAAGACAAAATGCCAAACTTCATGTTGACCAGTTAAAGTATGATGTTAGCACCTGCAGACTGCTCTCAGAAACTTCCAGCATCAGCAATACGCAAGGGAGCAGCAGGAGAGATAGCGAGAGGAGCTTCTGCCTCACACCTTCACCCCCAACGTGGGATACGGCACCCCCTGCGAGGCTGCGGTGCCTCCTGCGAGGCTGTGCCGGCCCCTGCAAGGCTGAGATGGCCCCTGGGAGGCTGAGACGGCCCCTGGGAGGCTGCGACGGCCCTGGGAGGCTGAGACGGTCCCTGGGAGGCTGAGACGGTCCCTGGGAGGCTGAGACGGCCCCCGGGAGGCTGTGACGGTCCCCGGGAGGCTGAGACGGCCCCCGTGAGGCTGCGACGGCCCCTGGGAGGCTGCAACGGCCCTGGGAAGCTGAGACGGTCCCTGGGAAGCTGAGACGGTCTCTGGGAAGCTGAGACGGTCCCTGTGAGGCCGAACACAGGGACACGTCGCGGATGGAAATAGCTACATTTTCCATGTGTATGACCCAGCAACAAAAAGTGTACACCTATGGATGAGGACGGGGGGGGGGGGGGGGGGGGTAAGGGAAGGGGGGGGCGAACTAGGTGGAGGGGAGCTATGGGGGGGGGGAAGGGGAACAACTGTAATAATCTGAACAATAAAGATTTTTAAAAAATGCATTAACAGTGGAAAAGGTATATAGCTCAGCAAGCAAGCATTTTCCACATATCCAACATCTGATGGTACAAAATCCCGTGTGGGTAAAAGATCTATTCAAAGTGGGAGATGGACCAATTCAATGGAACAAACAACAAAAACCTCATTGATTTGGATTCCACATTACAATTAACCTCTAAGAAACTACCTTTAAAGTTTTGGTACAATAACAAAGAATTAATACCAATAATTCCCTAAAAAAGCTACTAAAAGACTCTACTTTCCAAACTATGTATCTGTCTGTGTGTGGTCAGATTCTTCTGTCATATACTTCAACCAGTAAAACATACTGCAGCAGAATGAATGCAGAAGAAAAGAAATTTAGCTGTCATATTAAGCCAAATTTTAAAAATTACCCCCAAACCATAAAACAATGCTTCTCATGAAAACTTCTTTGTTTTGTCGAATATATTTTTCTTTAAAATATTATTTGTTAATGTTTCCCCAAAATTCCTATTTTGCACTAATGTGATGATATTAGGAAGAGTCGTCTCTGGGTGGAACCCTCATGAATGGGGTTAGTGTTCATATCAAAAAAGACCCCACAGAACTTCTGAGCCCTCTTCCTGCATGTGAGGACAGTGAGAAGATTACAATCTGCAACCCAAAGGAGTGTCTTCACCAGAACCTCACCATGCTGGCACGCTGACTCTGGACTATTAGCCCTCCAACAGAAATATCCCTGGCCAGTGTGTTCAATGATTAGAGCACAGGCCTGTGCACTGGAGTGTTGCGGGTTCAATTTCCAGTCAATGGTACATACATGGGTTGCAGGTTCGATCCTCAGCCCTGGTTGGGGAGTATGTGGGAGGCAATTTCTCACATTGACGTCTTTCTCCCCCACTTCCTCCCTCTCTCTCACTCTTTCTCAAAAAAAAAATCAATGGAAAAAATATCCTTGGATGATGATTAACAACAACAAAACTGTGAGGAATAAATTTCTGTTGTTTATAAGCCACCGTCTATGGCAGCAGTTCTCAACCTATGGGTCGCGACCCCTTTGGGGGTCAAACGACCCTTTCACAGGGGTCGCCTAAGACCATCGGAAAACACATATATAATTACATATTGTTTTTGTGATTAATCACTGTGCTTTAATTATGTTCAATTTGTAACAATGAAAATACATCCTGCATATCAGATATTTACATTATGATTCATAACAGTAGCAAAATTACAGTTATGAAGTAGCAACGAAAATAATTTTATGGTTGGGGTCACCACAACATGAGGAACTGTATTAAAGGGTCGCGGGGTTAGGAAGGTTGAGAACCACTGGTCTATGTTATTATAACAGTCCAAATGGACTAAGACAAATAGATTTATTTCTTTAATTAGTATTTAATTAGTATTCAATTTAATTTCTAATATGGTAAATACTGATAGTCATAAACCATGTAAGCAAAGTTCTCTGGGGTCATCAATCATTGTCAAGAATGAAAGGTCTTGAAATCAACAAGTGTGAGAATCAGTGCC